ATATGCGACTAGGTTAACCCATTCTGTCATAGTTACGGTGTTTTATATGCTACTAGTTTAAATCAGTTTTTCATGGTTATGACGTTGTGAAGTTTTATAAACGACTGGGTTAAAACACCCTGCTGGTGTTATGAGATTGAGAATGTATTTACCGGATGTTAACGTAAAGTAAATAGAATGTATTTACCGGATGTTAACATAAAATTAATATAATGTATTTACCGGATGTTAACGTAAAGTAGATATAATGTATTTACCGGATGTTAACATAAAGTAAATAGAATGTATTTACCGGATGTTAACATAAAGTAAATAGAATGTATTTACCGGATGTTAACATAAAGTAAATAGAATGTATTTACCGGATGTTAACATAAAATTAATATAATGTATTTACCGGATGTTAACGTAAAGTAAATATAATGTATTTACCGGATGTTAACATAAAGTAAGTAGAATGTATTTACCGGATGTTAACATAAAGTAAATAGAATGTATTTACCGGATGTTAACATAAAGTAAATTTACTGTAGCTAAAAGTAGTTATTTTGGAAACTCGTATATATATATTGGAACGCTTAGTTACTTTTTATGACACCAGGATTATCAAGATTTATGAAACTTAAAAATATACCCGAGAAATATAAACTAGGTGGCGTACCTATATACACGTTGTGAATCAAAGAACTTTGACTTGATAGAATACGGAGAATGAAATGGTTCAATTTGTCTCTTTCCATCTACGTTTTACATGGATCTTTCAATCCTTTATGTTTCTGTCAAGCTGATAGAATGAAAGATATTCAATAGAGTGTACAATGACATTGTTTTACAGCATTAAATGCTCTTTTTTTGGGCATGTATACAATGATATTGTTTTACAGCATTACATGCTCTTCTTTTGGGCATGTATACAATGATATTGTTTTACAGCATTACATGCTCTTCTTTTGGGCATGTATACAATGATATTGTTTTACAGCATTAAATGCTCTTCTTTTGGGCATGTATACAATGATATTGTTTTACAGCATTACATGCTCTTCTTTTGGGTATGTTTTCAGAAGAGATTGAACAAAGACGTTCGGTTACTTATGATGTAGAACGTTTGACAAGTTTAATATCTAATCACGAAAAGAATTCACCCAGAATTTGAGATTTACTTTGTGTGCTTTTAATTCTTGGGTTTTCTTCGATCTCACCAGTACTTACTAATCACTCAAAACCAAGAATTAACTAAAAGGAAGAGGGTCACGAGTGGTTCGACGGTCTGTGACGGAGTGATTGTAATTTAATTTGCTCTGGTAAAACAAAACCAGCAAATAAGACGAAAGTGCTGACATACGTGGAAACTTTCGACGTTGTCTTTTCTAATTTAACTTAGATGAAGACATAGAACACGTAACTGTGCGTTGCGATATTTAAAGCTAAGAAAGAAAAAAATCTTCGTTTACTTTGTGGACGATTTATATTTCCAAACGAAGAATAATATATTGAGTATACGAAACATTTAATCTATTGTAGCTGCCACAGTTTATTTGATTGCATAAGTTAAGCCTAAAAACAAGTGCATTAGAGATTCTTTAATGTATACCGTTCTGTTCCAGCATTTTAATGGTGTACTTAATGCCAAGTCACAAAAAAAGGGACTCTGTAACAGTAACTGTTTCTTCCACTTTTATGGATTCTGTCAGGAACAATACGTAGCTTGTTACAAACGTAAAGGAATAAAAAAGTCATTATTTGGCTCAGGACTTTGTGGTCGAACAGTCATGATAATACAGCATTACAGAAACGTCAGGTTTTTCCGTCCACGTGATTTTTCAACAACTTGCGCGTTGAAAGTTCTAGCTGGTCGATCTCTGTTTTTAATCTTTCTTTCTTTTTGATCACGGTCGAAGACAGAATATTAAATACTTTCTTCTTACGTTTTATTCTCGATATACTTCAGTGATTCGAGCGCTTGAGATGTAACTGCGGGAACATTTTTACAACATAATATTTCACTCGAATTACTTCAGGTATTCCAAAACGCATGTTGACCAACCTGTATTATAGAAAGTCGAAGTTTAAAGTATACAACATCGTTGAATATTGGATTTGTTATCAGTAACATTTTTATTGTATAAATCATAGTTTGTTTTTGCTCTGTATAATAAGGATAGTGTAAGTTCTAGGTTTGTTTTTGGTCTGTATAATAAGGATAGTGTAAGTTTAGGGTTTGTTTTTGTTTTGGTCTGTATAATAAGGATAGTGTAAGTTTAGGGTTTGTTTTGGTCTGTATAATAAGGATAGTGTAAGTTTTGGGTTTGTTTTTGGTCGGTATAACAAGGATGGTGTAAGTTTAGGGTAAGAGTTTAGGATGTCAATAAAGAGAGTAACGTTCTTGTGAAATGTAAAATAATTTAAAAAGTAAAGAACCAGAAAGTGATTAAGTTTCTCATAAATATTTTTGCTATGTTTAATATTTCCACTTCTTTTGTTTACAATCGAGCTCTGATCTGGTCGTCCTTTTTACTAACTTACCATATAGTTTTACCGAGAAAGTAAAAAGTAAGGAATGGTAAGGCTTACCAGATCCTAGTAAAAGTGAGACATGATAGGGTTTATCAGCACATAGTTAAAGTTATGTCTGGTATGATTCAACAGACTATGGTAAATGTTAGGCCTGATGTGATTCAACAGACCACAGTAAAATTTATACAAAACTGTGTAGGAAATTACGCGTAGTGGTTGTTGAAAAAGATAAAAAAGAAGTCAAACCACTAAAGAGTTAATATATATAATTGTGGATACAACGTTTCGGGCAATGCCCTTCTTCAGGTGTCACTAACTGAACACTAAATCCGTAAACGAAAACATTCCAAATCGAAGGTCGCGTGACGTAACAATGTAACAAATATACGTTTATAACAATGTTTACAATCAACTGAAACAATAGAAAGTGATAAATATATATAATATATACATACAAGCGCGCGCACACACACACACATATATATATACACACAGATACACCCAAATAAATACACACAAATGATTATACAAATTAATATATACACATAAAGAAACACATGCGCGCACACGCACATACCTATCTGAATATATATGCATTATAGTTTAAAAAGAATAGACACATAATTTACTGTATAAAACTTTTTAACAAACTAAAACGGGAAAAATTACAAAAGTCTAAAACGTTCATTTTAGCCCATCGAGCAGGAAAGTTCCCAAGTCAAAAATTATTTTGTTTTCTTGTACTTAGTGGTTATGTTTGTTTGTAGGGGCCGTCTTCAAAACAAGAATTTTAAAACGGCCAGAAGTCTGGTTGTGCAAATTGAAGTGTCGGACCACTGGTTTATCTGCGTTACAATTTGTTAGGTCTCTGACATGTTCTGCTAATAAGTTTGTACGAGTAAATGAAGTTTTTGTGTGTTACTGAATTATAGAAAATTCAAGATTAGAAACTTTTAGTAAGTTTCAATGTTGACAAATTGAACTGATTTGCCTTGAGGCAAAAATATAAATATATCTGTTAACATAATTTCCTGACTCTCCGATTAAATAACGACATTTCAAGGATGCACTGATACTACAATCTGACTCTAGAACCTAAATATATCTGTTAACATAATTTCTGACTCTCCGATTAAATAATGACATTTCAAGGATGCACTGGTACTACAATCTGACTCTAGAACCTAAATATATCTGTTAACATAATTTCCTGACTCTCCGATTAAATAATGACATTTCAAGGATGCACTGATACTACAATCTGACTCTAGAACCTACTTTATAATCTGATTTTCATAAATTAAAGCGTTTTTTAAACATGCATCAAAATCGTATGAGTTCATACCCGTCCACGTTAGGACAGTCACGTGAAGTACTTTGAAGTCTTTACTCTTGGTTTCAGTGTAGAAACAAATCATATTTCGCTAAATGGTTTCATGCGTTGTACAGATAATCTATAGAATATATTTAGGATTGGAAAACAGAGAGAATTTGGTACTAGGAATTGAGATTTTAAGGTTTCTTTGAGAATCATAAACCAACCAGTCAGAGGAGGCGAGGGGTTCATGCTTGAGGTAATTTCTCCTTCAGATTGTGATGTTCATATTAAGCATAGATTCCCTGTACAAATGCTTTAATCCGCCATGATGACCACTTCTATGGTATTCATTAATTCCATATAAAGCTCTAAGCCGTGACGTAGTATAGTGTTCCTTCCAAACTAAATTACCGGTCATAACAAATGTATAGTTCAAATATAAGATACAAGCTAACAATATACGAGTTAATAATATACAAGTTAACATGATACAAGTAACATGATACAAGTTAATAAGATACAAGTAACAATATACATGTTAATAAGATACAAGTAACAATATACAAGTTAATAATTATATACAAGTAACATGATACAAGTAACAATATACAAGTTAATAATTATATACAAGTAACATGATACAAGTTAATAATATACAAGTAACAATATACAAGTTAACATGATACAAGTAACAATATACATGTTAATAAGATACAAGTAACATGATACAAGTTAATAATGATACAAGTAACATGATACAAGTTAATAAATACCTTATTAACTTGTATCATGTTAACTTGTATCATGTTACTTGTATCTTATTAACTTGTATCATGTTAACTTGTATCTTAGTATCATGTTACTTGTATGAGTTAACATGATACAAGTTAATAAGATACAAGTAACATGATACAAGTTAACATGATACAAGTAACATGATACAAGTTAATAAGATACAAGTTAACATGATACAAGTTAATAAGATACAAGTAACATGATACGAGCTACAAGGTACAAGTGAAATTACCAGCATTAGCATGGTGCGATTTAATCAATTTAAAACTCTAAATATTTATGTGACGACTGTTCTGGTTTATCAAGCAACATGTTAAAATCTCTAGACAACGCTATGAAGTTGATTTGATTATTAACATATCTCTTCCAGGTAGAGAGTATTCTGTCACGAGCTTCGTTGGTGACAACGTTCTTCTGCCCTGTGAAGTGGACGTTGACACATGTGGAAGAGTCTATTTCATCACTTGGACTAAAAATGTTTCAAATGATTGGGAGAGAGTGTATCTATACAGTGCCAATTTCGAAACAGCTTTGGGAGATTTAACAAATCCTGATCGAGCTGGATTTAGATTGGAAAATAACTCTGCTTATCTGACAATACGTTCACTGCTTTATGAGGACGAGGGTGTGTACAAGTGTGACGTCACCTACGTAAGAGGAAAATGTCCATCTCTATCGTTTATCAAGTTGAACACCTTAAGTAAGTACTTTGTTTCTTTCCTGTCACATTTCGGTTATTTAATACTCCATTTTCATCTATGTTCTATTATTCAAAGGCAGGAATGGTATCCCATTACATATTAAAAAAAATGGCTGTAATATCCACATGAACATACAAAATTGATGCTATTTTACTGATTCACGTCTATTCAAATAATACAGCTTGTGTTTTTATGATGTATTCAGTTCCACTGCAAACCTGTTTGGCTAAACAAGGGAGGTTTCCATGGTAACTGTTTAGCAGAAAGCTCATGGTGTTCACTGGACGATAACAGTCAGTGATGAAGAAACATCTTTATAAAGTTTATTATTTTACATTTGAAATGCTTCCCTGCTCAAGAACCGCTGAATTGTATTTTCGTAAAGAACACGTGGAAAAATATATAAGTTATATCATAAAATAAACAGTTGTCGTTTAATTTTAAATCCAAGTAGGTTTAACTCGGCGTGTTCTTAAAGCCAAGTATGGTTTACATTAGATCGTGTTCTTAGAAACAAATACGATTTACATTAGATCGTGTTCTTAGAAACAAATACGATTTATATTTGGTTCTAATAACACGATCTAATGTAAATCGTATTTGGTTCTAAGAACACGATCTAATGCGATTTACATTAGATCGTGTTCTTAGAGCCAACTACGATTTACATTAGATCGTGTTCTTAGAACCAAATACGATTTACATTAGATCGTGTTATTAGAACTAAATACGATTTGCATTAGATCGTGTTCTTAGAGCCAACTACAGTTTACATTAGATCGTGTTCTTAGAGCCAAATACGATTTACATTAGATCGTGTTCTTAGACGTAGGAAGATAAACACGTGGTTAGCGTAGGAAGTTAGAAATAAAAAAATTACTTACTGATGATTTAGAATCTTATTTAGCTACGATCTTTTACAGCCTAGTATTTCCCACAAAGTTTATGGGTTCATATTTTCCAGTGATTAAAACACTCACTCCCCGTGACAATAAGAGTGAGGAGACAGATAATAGGTTTCAGAATTCATGTACTGGAGTAAGGAATCGGAATTAGCATATGTAACTTTTAGAAACATTCGGGAAAAATTCGTTATCCACAGTTGAACGGATCATTGTGTGTTTTTTTTCTCTCGCAGAATAATTCATTTTACACTTTCTATCTACAAATACGATTTAAATACACAGTAAATATTTTACAGTACTTAGGATGAAAAAGCTTCCAGGGCAACAATCTAAAATTCGTAATTTTGTAAATAATTCTCAACTTAATTAAAACATATGTAATGTAAATCACGGGGTTGATGTTTTCAGAGCAGTTTCGAATGGCCGTTTCTACACAGTTACGTTATAATGTCTTATTCTCATAAAGTTCTCGGAATGTATGACACATAAAAACCGGATATTTTAGGGTTAACGAAATCTATAGTTGTAACACGATTTTAACTTTCAAAACTGAATACTGTTTCATTAAGTATCGTATATTTTAGGGTTAGCGAAATCTATAGTTGTAACACGATTTTTAACTTTCAAAACTGAATACTGTTTCATTAAGTATCGTATGTTTTAAGGTTAGCGAGGTAAACCTCTTTTTTTTCTGATAATACTGAATACTGTGGAGCTTCAGGTACATTCTGCTCACAGCTCATAGAATATATATTAAATGTTCGTGAAGAACAAAAAATCAAACCACTGTCACATATTTTTGATAATAAGATTGAAAATGAAAAGTTTGAGGGGTTCATTATTAAAAATGAATTAATGAACTAGAATCTATTCAATGTTAACATTCCAAGGAATAAGATAACAAGGTATGACAATAGGAAACCCGGTATCAATCACATATAAAGTTTTTCTGTTTCTCTGTTCACAGTAGTTTCCGTATTTAAAGTTTATATAAGTTTTATTCATGATGTATGACTCAACGTTATGATAACCAACATTACTTTTTCATTAGGCCACGTTTATTCTCTTCACTATTGTGGGCATATTATAGCCTAGTGCCTTATAATAGGGAATTAACCCAGTATATTTCCCTCAACCAGAGTGGAAGCAGTGTTTGTGGGTGGAAGGGCAAGGACAGGATATTTTCTTCAACCAGAGAGGAAGCAGTGTTTGTGGGTGGAAGGGCAAGGACAGGATACTTCTTTCAATCAGAGAGGTAGCAGTGTTTGTGGGTGGCAGGGCAAGGACAGAATAATTCCCTCAACCAGAGTGGAAGCGGTGTTTGTGGGTGGAAGGGAAAGGACAGGATATTTCCTTCAACCAGCGTGGAAGCAGTGTTTTTGGATGGCAGGGACAAGATATTTCCCTCAACCAGAGTGGAAGCAGTGTTGGTGGGTGGCCGGGCAGGGACAAGATATTTCCCTCAACCAGAGTGGAAGCAGTGTTTGTGGGTGTCAGGGCAAGAACACAGAATTCCGGTGACTCTTTCTTGGAGGTGTTGCTTACACCGTTGGAAAGTCCCAAATCTGCCGTATTCAAATATGCAATCCATATGATGATAACGTATGGGAGGTCAAAAGTTTGGAGTGGCGACAGTTATACACACTAATTGATTATTTCTTTTAACGTTGTCATATCATAAGACCTTTTTTAATTGTCTATTTGAGGTTGGAGGCCTTTCTAAAAGGCTGCTACCATCATTACCATCCTTGTCAGCAGCAAACCTATTTACGAGTTTTGCGACAGCATCTCTGGGCTTGATATATATATTTACCTTAACAAGGTTTGTCCAAAAGCTCATCGTGATCGCATCCACAGCGGCTGCACAGGTGAAAAGTCGAACATCTCAGAACCTTGAATGTGTAAGGTAATCGTGGGAATTATGGTAATTGATTATGAGTAGCAAAGTTGTAGTTACGGTCAGTGGGGCTTCGAGCTATCTGCTGAAGATCTGTTGGGCTCTGATCTGACAAAGATGTAATGACGGGCGAAGAAGAATAAGAAAGCTCACCAAACGGACCTGTTGGTTACACAACATTAACTATGCAGTTCCTCTGAGGATGTGGTCAGTCATAATTCGGTCATTTTGTGTCCGATTTCAAAACTGTAAAATGTAATCGTCATATGTCATCATCTTTGGTCCGAATCAGATAAATCCGGGATATTTTAGATGACATCGAGGTGTCTCTGGTTGAGAGAGAGATCCTGTGTTAAAAACGAATCGTTAGATATGTTTCGCCCCCCAGTGAGACAGTGGTAAGTTTACATTGTTAAATACTGGCTTCGATTTCCCGCAGTGGACACAACAGACAGCCAAGCCTGGTTTTCATGTAAAAAAAAAGAAAAGAAATAAACAATATTCAAATTCGATGACGAGGAACCCACTTTGAGACTAATAATGGCTGGAGACGGCTTGAATGGGTAATGAAGAAAAACTTTAATATAACAGCAAATGTACAACGTTTCGACAAGGTTTTGTCATCATCAAATGGGGATACATTATATTGGTTATGCAACGTATCTATGACACTTTTGGAAAAAGAAGGGATAATAGAATACATAGAAGTACGTCAATACTTTTTAATAGTATTCAAGATCTTAAAACTAAAAATTTTACCTCTGTGTAGTACATTCTTGATAGAGATGATTTGCTCCGTTTTCTAATCACACGCTGTACTAAGGTAATTAATAAGTTGATGAAAATCATGAAATACACTTTTGTAAGTAACCCACTTCGGTTGCTTGTTTGTTTTGAATTTCGCGC